GGCTGAGGACTAGAGGACAAGGCCGGCGCCGAGCGAGGGGGGGAAGTGAGAAGGAGAAGGCCTTTTCAGAAGGCGGCCGGGCTTCTCAGAAGCCTTCTGGCATTCTGATGGGTTTTCATCGTCGTCGGGGAAGGCTCAGAAAGCTTCTCAGAAGGCTGGGGACTTACGAAACTTCTGAGAAGGCTTTCTCCCTCTCACTTCGCACCCTCTCTCGCCGCCGACTATATATATATATATATATATATGTGTGTGTGTGTGTGTGTGTGTGTGTGTGTGTGTGTGTGTGTGTGCGGTGTGTGTGTGTGTGTGTGTGTGTGTGTGTGTGTGTGTGTGTGTGCGAGCTTGTGCGTGTGCGTGTCTGTGTGTGTGTGTGTGTGTGTGCGCGTGCTGCACCTTTCCACCCACTCACCCTCGCTGCCCATGCCCGGGCATGCTGATGGCTGGTCGACGCAACACGGGCCCCGTGCGTTCTGACTGGCCTCTGCGCGCCCGCGCGCCCGCCCGCTCGGTGACTTCCTCCACCTCGACGCTGCGTGCGAGGCCGCGGCCGCCAACAAGTGTGTGTGTGTGTGTGTGTGTATGTGGCGTGGGCATCATGGCCAGGGCCACGGAATCGCCAGATATCATGCCCCCTCATGATTTTCTTTGTCTCTTCTTCTTCTTCTTCTTTCGATCGGTATCCTGGCCGCCCGCTCGTCCGCGCACGTGGCTGGGGCCACGGTGCTCTGCCCCGTCCTCTCGCCCCCCTGCTTAGGCGCTCCCAGAACTTGGCCGCGCAGGGGCCATGCGGGGCGGCCGGGAGTCAAGTTGGCTGCCGCGCGAATGCGTGTTTGTTTTGTTTGTTTGTTTGTTTGTTTTGTTTGTTTGTTTGTTTGTTCGTTTGGTTGTTTGTTTGGTTTGTGGTTTTGTGCGTGTGCGCGTGTTTGTGTGTGTGTGGACGATGCACATATTTGGACGCGTATGTGTGCATGCATATTAAAACAACATATATCTTATATATGTATACATGCAGTTTTGTGGACGTGGGGCAGGGGTACACGCGTCGTCTAGGTCAGAGAGGGGTCTTGGGTGGGAGAGAGAGGGAGAGAGGGAGGGAGAGAGAGAGAGAGAGAAAGAGACACGCATATATGTATGTATGTATGTATGTATGTATGTATGTATGTATGTGTATGTATGTATGTATGTATATATATATATATATATATATATATATATAGTTGTATCTATTATCGTACATATATATAAACATATAATTGAATAGCGCGCCCCCCCGGGGTTGCGACCACCGAGCAACCATCGGCCGGAATTTTGATATGCCCCCTCCCCGAGGCCCCCAGGAGGCCCTCAGACGGCCCAGGAGGCTTCCCAGACAATCTAAGATACCCCCAGGATCGCCTAACCGAGGCCCAACATGACCCAGAGACGATGCAGATGGCCTCAATACCGCCCACGAGGCTCCCAGTACGTCCAGAGAGACCCCCCCGCGCGTTCCCAAGAGGCTCTGAGGAGACAACAGCATTGATGATTTTCTCGAGGTGTGGAAGGATTTTATCATTGTCGCCTTCGACAGCATCCGACGGCCCAAGACAGTCGAAGACGTCTCCTGGAGACCCGAAAGAGAGAGTCAAGACGATCCCAGAGGGCCGCCACACCGCCCAAGAGGGCCCCTAGACGGCTCACGAAGACCCCGATGACAGCCCAAGAGGTTCCCTGCCAACAGGGGCCTAAGAGGGGGAACCCGAGCTGACATTGCGAGTCCTCCACCCCAAGATGACCCCGGAGGCCGCCAACAGGCCCCCAAGATGCTCCGAGGAGGCCCCCCAAAGGCGCCAAGAGGCTCCCATTTGGCTCCAAAGAGGGCCTAAAGAGGCCCCTAGAGGCTTCAAAACTTCTTGCAGGACACCTCCAACAGACATCCCACAAGACCCATACAGGTATCTAACATGCCTCCACCTTCTCCTTCCCTCTCTCTTTGTAACCCTTTCTATCTTTCTTTCCTGTTCTTGGGTTTCCGCCTTCTCCCGTTCCACGTATCTCTCCTGCACGCCTTCCTCCCACTCCCCGCTTCCCGCCCAACTAAATGGAACACTGATCCTGGCGAAGGACCCAGTCATCGTTGTGATGACAGTTGTTATTCCGGGGTGGGAAGTTACTAGCTGTACTGAGGTCCGCCTTCCTTGGAGAGTCGTTGGCAGCAGAGTGGTGTTTTGAGCTGATATTCCAGATGGTTGCAGCATGGTGGCAGCGGCAGGTAGAGGTTTCCGGAATGGGCACCCCCTTTGGTGGCTTCGGTGGAGCTCCTTAGGGTGTTACGAAGCGTGTGAGTGGTATGCCAAAGTGGGTGGGGCGGCCGCAAGTGGTACCACTCCCTGAGACCTTCGCTGGAGTCGCCTATGGGGCTACGAGACATGTGAGGGGTGTGCCGAAATGGGTGGGGCGGCCGCATGTGGTACACCCCTTTTTGGGTCATCGTTGCAGCCCTCTTGTAGGGGGCGCGAAACGTGTGAGGGGTGTGCCGAAATGGGTGGGGCGGCCGCGCTTGGTACACCCCCGTTGGGGTCTTCGCTGGAGCTTCCCTTAGGGGGCTAAGAAGCGTATGAGGGGTGTGCCGAAATCGATGGGGCGGCCGCATGTGGTACACCCCCTGGGGCCTCTGGTTGTAGGGCTACGAAACGTGCGAGGGGTGTGCCGAGGTGGTTGGGGCGCCCCCATGTGGTACACCCCCCTGGGGCCTTCGGTTTAGCTCCGTGTGGGGTCGTGATGCGTGTGAGTGGTGTGCCGAAATTGGGCGGGTCCGCCGTGCGGGCGGTGTCATCGGGGCCTTCGGTGGAGCTCCTTATGGGGCCGCGAAGCGTGAGAGTGCCGTGCCGAAACGGGTGGGGCGGCCGCACGTGGTACACCCACCTGGGGCCCTCGGTGGAGCGCTCCCTGCGAGGCCACGAAACGTGTGAGGGGTGTGCCGACACTGGTGGGTCGGCCGCGTGTGATGCACCCCTGTGGGCCTTAGAGGCTCTACGTGGGGGCGCGAGACGTGCGAGGGCGGCGTGCCGAAGTGGGTGGCATGCGGAGAGAGCAGAGGTAGGCATGGTCGGAGGGAGGGGGACGTCGACGAGAGGACGGCGGGCGCTGTCTTCTCAGAACGAGGAGGAGGAGGAGGAGCAGGAGGAGGAGGAGCGATTAGGACGATGAGGAGATGAAGAGGAGGAGGAGGAGGAGGAGGAGCGATTAGGACGATGAGGAGATGAAGAGGAGGAGGAGGAGGAGGAGGAGGAGAAGGAGGTGGTGGTTGGGAGGGGTGCGCCAAAATGTAATGGTTGGAACAAGGGGAGAACTCCCACGTTCACATTTGTTTCTCAAGTTGCCCCCCCCCTCTCTCCATTTGCTCGGCTGGCGCGAGCGTGTGTATACGTATCGTCGTACGTGCAATATGGGACCGGGCCCAGGGCGACCAGGCTGGAGCCACTACCACAAGTGTGAGGCCTGAGATGGAGGAGAAGGGGAGGAGGAAGAGGAGGCGGATGAGGAGGAGAAAGAGGAGGAGGGGGAGAAGGAGGAGGATGAGGAGGAGGAGGAGGAAGAGGAGGAGGAGGAGGCTCAGGAGGCTCAGGAGGCTCAGGAGGAGGACGAGGAGGAAGAGGGGGAATAACAACACTACTAAACATACAAAGCTTTGAACTATTACTATCAACACTGTGAATACTACGACTACTACTAAGAATATAATATTGAGAACACAACCATGCGAATCCTATTACGAACACGAACACTACTAATAATAACAGTACTCATGCTAAGCATAAGAATACCATACTAATTCTACGACTACTAATACTAAGACGAATGCAACTACGAATGCTACGAATATCACGAACACTTTTACGACTGCTATTAATAATACGCTCAGTAATCGTATCACAAGAAAGCAACGACTACTACGAGCTCGCAGAATACGAACACGACTAAGATGATGCCGATTAGGAGAGCACACCTAATACGGATACTCATACCGATCATAATATCGCTAAGATTAAGACTGCGAGTAATAATATTACGGGTAAATCAAATAACACGAAGCGCACGAATCATATTACGACGACTACGACTACTCCTAATAATAAGCCGCGTAATGCTACGACGAATGCGAAGAAGGCGACTAAGCAGAGCAACGCTAATACGAGTAAGAATAGTAGTACACATCCAACGGACAATACCAAGGCTACTAGTACACATAATCGTACTAGGAATAATACCATGAGTAATACTACAAATGATACGAAGAGCAATTCGACTCATAACAATAATACGCATGCTCGTAGTACTAATACTAATCATATCAAGCACAATAATCATAGTACTATCTATACTATTACCAATGAGAATAATACTACTATTAGGAATCAGAATATCATTACTAACATTCGCCATGCTAATAGTACTCGTAGTAATCAGGCGAATAAGACGACTACTATTAATAATAGTGAGACGGATAGTAATACTAATCGTACGAATAAGAAGAGTACTAGTATTAATAATAAGAAGAGCAATAATAATACGAAGACGAAAAAGAAGAGGAGGAGGAGGAGGAGGCGGGGGAGGAGGATAATGAGGAGGAGGATGAGGAGGGGGAGGGGAGGAGGGGAGGAGGGGAGGCGGAGGCGAGGGAGGAGGAAAGGGAGGAGGAGGAGGAGGGAGGAGGAGGACGAGGAGGAGGAGAGGAGGAGGAGGAGGAGGAGGAGGAGGAGGAGGAGGTGGAGGAGCGAACAGATTCGGAGGAGGAGGAAGGACGAGGGTTGGAGAGAAGGGAGAAGGAGGAGGCTTGCTAAGGGTGGTGCAGGCTGATACAGCCAGACAGAAATTCACAGTCAGACGCTCACAGCGGGACGTGCCAGGACAATGAGATGTACGTATGGGGACCTCCACGTCGAGTGATAGTTTTTCGCTTTCCCTCCCTGCGCGGGGCGGCCTCGTCCTGGGCCCTTATCTGGCACGGGCCTGCCGAGGCCGTGCCGGTGGAGGTCGAGCCCGACGTGCGGCCGGAGGACCAGCCGATGAAGAAGAGGCCAGGGGTTCTCCCACCTCACGTTGCGAAAATATGCATGATGTTCCAACCTGTTCTAGTCTTGACCATCAGACAGAATTTCGAGCACCACATAGTACCGAAACTCGATGGCTTTCACGTGTCGGGCCCTGGGAGACACTCGTCCGACACTGTTTCGACACTCTTTCGACACTTTTCCAGGTACTCGAAATTATCTCTGGGATGTGGTTTTTGAGTACGATGGGAGTAACATAAGGCCATGGGTTTTCCCGCCTCACGTTGCGAGAACATGCAAGACGGCGTTTTGGCTGTTGTGTATTATTTGTTTTGCCATTTTCGGCTCTTGGGGCCCTGTTGCAGCGCTCTTGGGAGCCTTGGGAGCGCTCTTGGGGCCATCTTGGAGGACATCGATCAAACAAGAAGCGAGCATTAATCAGCGTTGCCCCTCGGGAGCCCAAAACATCGCCTCTTGGGGCGCTCTTGGGGCGCTCTTGGAGCGCTCTTGGGCGCTCTTGGGGCCGTCTTGGGGCTCTCTTGGGGCAAAGGAGAACTTGGCATCGCTCGGACGTGTGCACCTTTTCTCGGCGAGAACCATCGAGGACCATCCTGGACCATCGAGCAAAGAAAACACGCACGAAATCGAGTAATGCACGGGAAATGGACGTCCGAGCGACGACAAGAGAACGGCCATTTTCAAAAGCGCCATGTACGTACGAGCGCGCAGGGTCCATGTAGACGCTGGTCGGTGGACCGACATCGAGCTCTTCTGGAAGTACCGAGCGCTGCGACCCGATTCGATTTCCTTTTATGCCCTCGCGGGCGGTCGCGGATGTCTCGAGCTCTTCGGCCCCCGCGGCGGATGCCTGCCGGAACCCCGCAATGTCAGGCGTAAGTCGGGCCTGTCCCTCTACAGGAGGAATATCAAACAATGGGAAACAAATAACACGGTGACGATTTGTTTTGAACATCTTGTGACTATTTGGGAGCATTTTTAGATTATTTCCGATTCTTCGTCCAAGATCCCCCTGTAGGGGGACATGCCCGACCTACTGTTAGGCATTTCAGGCTGCTTCGCCCGCCACGGGCCCAGCGGGCTCGAGTCCGCCCCCCCCCCGGCGTCGCGGCGCACGTGCATCATATAGGATGGTCCTCTCTCCTGCGCGGTCACCCTGTCGTCCTCCCTGCTCCATGCTCCCTCCGCCGCCTCCCCTCGCAGGCCTAGAGGTTGACACCAACACCAAAATCGGCGGTATGCTTCCACCGAGGGAAGATGATCCCGATCTCAGTGATGGTGGCAATACTCGGGCTTTGTAGGTGGCCGAGGTATTGCCACCAGCACCAGATCTAGGATCATCTTCCCCATGTGGAGGCAACCCCCTGTGCTGGTGGTTGGTGCCAATTTCCAGGCCTCCAACCTTTGTCTCAGCGTGCCCTCCGCTCCACCCGCCGCGCGGGTGCTGCCAGGTGCGGCGAGCTGGGAGACGTGGAGCTGGACCGCAGGAAAAAGATCGACCGGCTGACGGAGGCCTTTGGCCGCCAGTGCCCCGTCGGGGGCGGCGGCGAGAGCGAGGGCAGCGCTAACAGCCGCCGGCCCTGCCAGAGGGCGGGCGGGACGTCCATCAGAAGAGGGTCCAGCCGAGACAGGGACGGCGTTCGCTGGCACGCTTTTAGTCGTCCTTGGGCCTCCTGGTAGGCTTCTCGTCGCCTCGGCAGGGTCAGCCTCGAAAGGCGGGCCAGGGTGGACCCGTGGAGGCGTGTGGTAACCTAATTTGAGCGGATTTTTGGGTTGGGCGGGAGAGCCGTCGTTACCTCAACTGACCCTCGGGAGAGCCGTCGTTATCCGCCCCCCCGTCGGGGAAGCCACTTGGCACCAGGACCCTTTTTGCCCGCCGGACCCGCTTCCTGCCTGGTGATGAGTGGATGCAGGGTGAAAACCTGTCGCGCGCTCCTTAGCGCCCCAGGTTGGGCGGGAGAGTCGTCGCTGCCTCAACTCGGCCCTCCTGCGAGTCTGGGAGGCCCAGCCCCCGTCGGGAGTGACCCGCCCTGGCCTCAGGAGGCGGGCCCACCGCTGGCCGCCGCCGCGGCGGGGTCGCGCTGCCCTCGCTCTCTCTTGCACCGCCGTTTTTTGGCCGCGCCCGCCCTCCCTGACGGGCCTGACTTCCACCACCGCCACCATCAGTTGGAGGGGGAGGGGGTCCTCCTCTTCCTCCTCCTCTTTGTCCTCCTCCTCCTCCTCCTCCTCCTCTTTGTCCTCCTCCTCCTCTTTGTCCTCCTCCTCCTCCTCCTCCTCCACCCTCCAATTTGTGGTGGTGGTGGTGGTGGAAGACGGGCCCATCACTCCCCGGGGCATCAGCGGCCAGCAGCGCCACGGGGCGTTGGCGGGGGGGGGAAGTGAGCTCGGGGCTCCGAGGCTCGAGGGTTTCCGTCGTCCTCGTGGGTTCGCGTGAGGTCGGGCATGCCCCCCCTACAGGCGGATCGTGGACGAACATCGGAGGGCACCAACTATACACCAACACCGATCCTGGCCCAGGATCACCCTGGGCCCAGGATCGGTGTATATGCGTTCGTGCCCAAGGCAGGAGGGCGTATACACCGATCCTGGGCCCAGGGTGATCCTGGCCAGGATCGGTGTTGGTGTATAGTTGGTGCCTTCCTAGAAAAGTAGAAAATAGCCAACACACGTGCAAAGAGAGCCAGAACACATCCAACAAGGCGTCCCCCATTTTTTTGTTGTAAAAGGGCTATTTTTGAATGCTCCCCGTGTAGAGGGACAGGCCCGACTGAAGGTTCGTGGCGGCTTTCCAGTTTCGGGATGCCTTCCAGCGGCTGCGCCTCGCCGAGAACGTTCAAGGGGTTCCCAGATCGTCTCGAGCGGCCGCTTGAGGCCCGAGGCATGGCACGAAAGCGAGCAGCCCGCCCCGAGGCAGCGTTGGGGAGGGATGTGCTCAGGGGGTGATGCATCGACCCTTAAGACGGGCATGTCCCTTTACAGGAGGGATATTCAAAAACAGGTAAAACATCGTACACTTTTTTTTTGTTGTGTGTGTGTGTGTGTGTGTGTGTGTGTGTTTTGTTGTGTTTTGTTTTTATATACAGATATTTGGCAAAAGCGAATGAAACAATGTTTCGGGCATTTTTTGAGTGTTGTTTCGTTTTTTCGTCGAACATCTGCCTGTAGGGGGACATGCCCGACCTAAACCGACCCCCCATTGCCCACTGATCGCCGATAGGGGCCCGACAGCCCACCCCGTCCAGGAACATGCGGATTCGCCGTCGGGGGCCCATCTTCGATCTATGGGCGATGCGTCGCCGATTCCAGTTCTGTGCCTTCTCGGGGACGTGCGGATGTGCCATCGGGGGCCTCTCGCCGTGCTATCGGCGACGGATCGCTGATTCCAGTTCGATGTTCTCCCAACGCCTGCAAGCAGCGCGTGCGGCCCAAACTCGCCGTGATATTCTCGCGGAGATCGTCGAGCGGACACTCGCGGTGCATCTTGCTGCAGGCACCTCCCCGGAGCCGATGCCCTGACGGTTATCGGGTCATAGCTCGGCCCTCTGGCGGCCGTTCGGGACGATCCAGGCACCCCTGGAACGTTCTCGGCGAGGCGGAAGGCATCCCGAGGCTGGAAAGCCGACGAGAACCGACGAAGACGATCGAACACTCCAAATCTCAAACCTCGACACTTCGCCCCCCCCCTCCCTGAGCCAGTGCCACCCATGACGCCCCTCCCCGCCCGAGGTGTGCGACCGCCTGTTGGAGAGGGGCGTGCTGGTCTACGACTCGACCCGCGAGGCGGGAGAGATCGGGGTGGCACTGCGGTTGAGCACACATATATATATATGTATTTGTATATTTTATGTATATGTATATGTGTATGTATATGCATATGTAGCTACATATATATATATATGTATATATATTTATATATTTGTATACTTGTTTGTATATATATATGTATATATGTATGTGTATACGTATATAGATATTCTAGGCATGTATGTGTATTTGTATGCATATTCACATGCACGTGTTTATGTATGTGCACATGCGTATTCATATGCATTTGCAGGTGCATTGCAGATGCACGTGCACATGTCTATGTTTATGCTTACGTATATGTGTATATATGTAAATGAACATGTATATATGCATATATACATGTAGGTACTTATATATATATATATATATATATATATATATGTGCATCGGTATGTTTATGTCTATGTTTACGTGGCTGTGCATGCATGTGCATGTACACATACGTATTTGCACATGCATATGTATGTATATACCGATATATACATATACATGTACATGATCATGCGCATGTTTATGCATATGTACACGTATGCATGTGTATATGTATGTTTAGGTGTATACAAATATATATAGGTATAACGATACATGTATGTGTATATGTATGTGTATGTGTATTTGCATAGTTGCATATAGTTGTCTATGTATGTGTATATGCGTATGCTGATGTATATGAATACGTATATGCATGCGTATGTGTATGCTTATGATTACATATAGTTGCATATGTCTATACATCTATATCATATCCATAGGTCGGGGCGAGGTATAAGATCGAGGCCTGCTCGGCGAGGGTGCCTTAGTGTTCGTCGCGCTTGTTGGACGTTCTTGCATGCTGGGAAGGGTGCCCTTGGATGTTCTGTTTGTTTTGGCAGACGGAGGGTCTCATGTTCTTCAGGGATGTTCTTCTGGCATCGGTCCCACTGTACTGCGAACCTTCCCCAGACCTCGCCCCGTCGCGAGCAAAACACGCAGCGGGAAGCCCCGGCCCGTTCTCGCCCTCTGGGGGCCTTCGCCGGGCCCGGGGGACCGCCGCAAGCGGACCCGGGGGGACACTCGGGTGCTCGAGGCAGGGGTGTTACCAGAGCTACAACTAAAGAATAATTCACACACAGCATTTGTCGTGTCAGAGATGACTTAGTTGAGCTGTAGGCTAGCTACGGAGCTCGGATAGACGGGAAATGCTGAGAAGCGCTAGTCTATAGCGTGTAGACGGCTGACCTCCCGGGGTCCAGACCCCCGAGGGTCGCGGTGGCGAAGAGGTCGCGACGCGGGAGATCTGTGGCGGCTCGCGGCGGCCCTCGGGCGGCGGCCTCTCGGCGGCCTCTCGGCGGCCCTCGGCGGCACACGGCGGCCTCTCAGGCGGCCCACGGCCGCCCTCGGGCGGCCTCTCGGCGCGGCTCGCGGCGACCCTCGGCGGATCGCGGCGGCCTCGGGCGGGCCGCCTCGGGGTTCCAGGGAGGGGTGCTGGTGTCGCTGCTCTTCCCTCGTTGTGGCCTCCTGCGGGCCTCCTGGGTGCGCGTCGACATCCTCTCGTCGCCACGGGTGGATTCGCCCCGAGGTCCTGGTCAGGGCGCGCCCAGGGAGCGGTCCAGGGAGTGGCGGTAATCATTGGTACTTTTAAGTCGGGCACGTCCTTCTACACCAGGAATATTTGTTTTTTTTGTTTTTTTTTCTATTTCTTGTTCGTCCAAAATCCGCCTGTAGGGGGACATGCCCGACCTAATGGTACTTTCCTGTTCCCTGAGGCGGGGGGGGAAACCGCGGGGGGCGACGACCCACAGCGGCCCCTGCGCAATTCTGAGCACGACTCACGGCCGGTGGTGCCGCCGCGGGCATTGTCCCTTCGGGACGGCTGGGGGGCTGAGGTGGTTCTAAGCCGGGCACGTCCCTCTACAGGGGGAATCTTCAAGAATAGTTTAATAGTAGTCTGTGCACGATTTTTTCCGTGCTCTATTGAATGTTTTGAATTATCTTTTGATTTTTCATTTTTCCTCTAAAATCCGTCGAGAAACACCCTGCTTGCCTCCAGGGCACCCTGGGTTTCTTGGGTTTTGATGGTTTTGCTATAGAAAGCTTGACGCTCCCGCACCAAAAACCAATGGACGTCCTGGGGACTCAGGAATGGGTTTCTCGTGGAAGGTTTCTTGTGGTAGAGCTCCCACTGTAGGTCACAGGCCTCTCAGGGCCCTCTTGGCCCGTTTTGGGGCGCTCGCAGCTCCGAAGTCACGCGGGAAGCGCCGGGGAACCGCGTGTGGCACGAGAGGCCCCCAAGGAAAATTGAGAGTTTGGGGTCCAGGTTCAGT